TTGGGGATCTGCAGGAAGGGCTGGACCCGTGATTGGCAGCAGTGCACAGGTTCAGCCCTGGGGAGGGGTTGTTCCCCCGTGGTGGAGGGGTCGAGGGGCTTCCTCCACAGTTAGCTGTTCATGGTGGGGGCTCAGGAACAGCCAGTGTGGGGGGGTCATAGCTATGGGGTTGCATTTGGGTGCCCCGGGCAGAGGCTCTTCCCTGGCTTCTTCGAGATGCTCTTGGATTCCTGGTGTTGGAGTGAGGAGACCCAGGCTTTAATGGAAAGCTGGCCCAGGAGAGGCCGAGGGTGGACTCGGACACCTGGTCCTCATCCTTACATGCTCCAGTCTCTGTCCAGCTGAAGTCCTCATGTGGCCACTGTCTCCTGGAGATCCGCTGATATCCAGGAGGCAAACCCACCTGAGTCCCCAGGCTGAGCGTGGGGGATGTGGGGATAGGGAGCTGGCTGCCTGGGGTGGTCTGTCTTGGGAACTGGAGCTTAGGGCCCAGCCATGTCCTGGGTTCAGCTGTGGGGGGAAGGAGGCAGCAGGAGCTGGGCTGGGCTTCCCTCCCTTGCCGGGGCCCATGGGGTGGGGCGGGTCCTCTCTGGCCTGGCCATGCTGCCTGCCCTCCCATCTGTCCCACCACCTGCCTGCTCCCGTCCCCACTTCCTCCCCAGCAGCTTGGCCAAGACTGTGATGCTGCTGCCCTGGAGTGACAAGGTGTCCCTTTAAGACAAAGTGTCCCTGCAGGATTTACGTTATATTCGGCAAGCAAGAGCATAAAAAGGATCTGGCCCTGGGCCCTTACCCCCTCTTTGCCCACATAGATGCCAGAGGGTCCTAGTGACACCTGGGCTGAGATCTGGCTCCCTGGCATCCAGCAACGTGGCCTTGGCCGTGAGTTACCTTCGGGAGCGTCAGCCTCCTTGCCCGGGTGGAAGGCATGGTGTGATGGGCTGTGCTCCTGTGCCCTGTGCAGGGCTGGAGCCCCGTCCCTCCTGGGCCTCAAGGTGGCTGGGGCCTGCCCCAGCAGGTGGTGTAGTGTGTCTAAACGCTGCGCCGGCCACCAGCCCTTGTAACTGCCAGGAAACACTCCAAGGTCATCACACGGGGGTCAGACGGGCGAGCTCACACATGTGCGCTGCGTCTCTCACCTGCTCCTGCCTCCAACCCACACCTCCCGCCTGCAGCCACAGCTCACGTTAGGGACCGGGGGCTTGAACGAATTAACAGTTCCATCAGCTTTACAAAATTAGCCCCGACTCAGTCCATCCTGCATTTTTGAACCGAGTACTGCTGCGTTGGTGTGTATTTTCTCCTGCTTTTTTGAGGATATCTGTTCAGTACTCATCTAACCTCCTGAATGAAATGCCTTCTGTATGGTGTTTATTTCTGACTTGAAACAGTGAACACTTTCACTGCGATGAACTCATCTTTGAGAAAATATTGACACAGTGTGGCTTTAAAAGAGAATCCTACTAGGTTCAAATTTATTATTTTACAATTTTTATTTCAAAAATTTAAACAAGGTGAGTACTTCCTACTTATATCAATTGATTCCCTTTATTGTGGACATTGTATTTAAGGACATTTAAAAACTGAATTTAAAATGAAATTGTAAAATGTTGGATAAAGCTGGTGGATTTGAATCAAAGGGAAAGGATTTGTCAGTGCTGGAGCGCTCCCTCCCCAGTCATGTGTCCCGCCCGCAGGCTCACTTGAGGGTGAGCCCAGTCACGCCGGCCAGATTTAGCACTAAGTGATGAGTAGATTGAGATTATAATTGTTTGCTTCATACTCTGCATACTCAGAAATGGAAATTTAGTACCCCAAATTTTCTTCCGGATCTGTTAATCAGGACAAATGGAATGTTGTAAGCTGTGTTAATTCATTTCCTGGGACCCCTGTCTGAAGGTCTGCTCACAGCGAGGGGTCTGGGTTGGATGACTGACACAAGGAATAGAGACCCCTTCCTGCTCCCACCCCGGCACCACCCAGGCACTGCTGGGACCATGCAGGAACCCCAGCCTCTTCCTCTGAAATACCAGTCCTGAAGGGCCGGGACGCTAGCTCGGGGGGTAACTCAGCTTTCCAAATAGCACAGGCTTTCTGTGTGTGCGTGTGTGTGTGTGTGCGTGTGTGTATGTCTGCATGCCTCCGTATATGTGTGTGTGTGCATGCCTGTGTGTGTGTGCCTGCGTGTGTGTGCGTGTGTCTGCATGCCTCTGTATGTGTGTGTGTGCATGCCTGTGTGTGTGTGTGTGCCTGTGTGTGTGTGCATGTGTGTCTGCATGCCTCTGTATGTGTGTGTGCGTGCATGCCTGTGTGTGTGTGCCTCTGTGTGTGTGTGTGCCTGTGTGTATGCATGCCTGTGTGTGCGCGTGCGTGTCTGCATGCCTCCGTATATGTGTGTGTGTGTGCATGCCTGTGTGTGTGTGCATGTGTCTGCATGCCTCTGTATGTGTGTGTGTGTGCATGCCTGTGTGTGTGTGTGCCTGTGTGTGTGCGTGTGTCTGCATGCCTCTGTATGTGTGTGTGCGTGCATGCCTGTGTGTGTGTGTGCCTCTGTGTGTGTGCCTGTGTGTGTACATGCCTGTGTGTGTCTGTGTGCGCGTGCGTGTGTGTCTGCATGCCTCTGTATGTGTGTGTGTGTGCATGCTTGTGTGTGTGTGTGCCTGTGTGTGTGCATGCCTGTGTGTGTGTGTGTGCATGCCTGTGTGTGTGTGTGGGGGGGAGTGTGTATGATTACAGCTCTCTTTTTGTAGACGGTCAACACCTTTGTAGGTCTGGTTTTAAGGTCTTTACGAAAATCAAGGTAAAGCAGCAGGGCGTCTGCTTGTGGGCACCGATGCCATGTCATCAGCAGTGTGACCGCGGTGCCTACTGTGGGATGGCACAAGGTGGGGTGTGGCGAGTGTTGTTTCTCCTGGATTGTGGAGATGCCCAGTGCTTCCTTCCCTGTTCTTGGGTGTGGTGGCTTTGGACACGCTGTTCAGGATGCCCCTTTCCCGCGTACAGGCAATTATACCATCAGAGCCCATGCTGCAGACATCATGGAGGCCTCCTCAAATCACAGAGAACCACGAATGGCCTCACAGGTTGTTGTAGACACCCGTACTTGCTTGGGGTGGGTAAGGGATCTAAGGCTTGGGTCCAAGGCCTAAGGGGATCTGTCCTTCTGGATGTTTGGGGGTCCCCAGGTCTTTCAGGGAAGCTGGAGCCCACCCCAAGAGTGGCTTCCTCAGAGTGGTACAGGCCCACAGATTTGGGGTTATACCTTGGAGGAGGGTCATCTGGCAGGGTTTGCTAAGTGGGTGTCTGGGCTCCCGGGCCCTCCTGCATGGCATGGGGTGGGGGAGCTCTGGGTGAGGGCTGGCTCCCCAGCCTGCTCCTGGGCCTTCCACACAGGTTGGGCGGCCACAAGAAAGGACTCCAGACTTGGTGGATGGAACAGTAGGAATTTCTCTTCCCTCGGTCCTGGAGGCCAAAAGTCTAAGACCACCGTGTGGCAGGGCTGGGTCTCTCTGAGGCCAGGTCCCTCTGAGACCGGGTCCCTCTGAGGCTGGGCCCCGTAATGACCTTTTTAAAGATCCTATCTCTGGGCTGGGCTAGGTGGCTCACACCTGTAATCCCTGTACTTTCCGAGGCTGAGGCAGACGACTCGCTGGAGCCCAGGAGTTCAACAAGTCCGGGCAACATGGCAAAACCCTGTCTCTACAACAAATACAAAAATTGACTGGGCGTAGTGGCCCCTACCTGGCCTCCTGGCTACTCAGGGAGGATCACTTGAACCCAGGGGGCAAGGTTGCAGTGAGCTGTGATCACGCCAGTGTACTCTAGCCTGGGGGGTTAGAGCCAGACCCTACCTCAAAGAAAAAAAATGGGGAGACACTGTTTCCAAACACAGTCACATTCTGAGTCCGGGGGGTTAGGACTTCAATCTTTGAACTTGTGGGGCGGTCACAGTTTAGCCCATGATAAGGTCACACAGCAAATCTGCCTCATCCGCCACGAGGCCCACCCTCCAGCGAGCATCCCTGGCAGTGCAGCTCCTGTGCTCAGTGACACCTCAGCTCCATGGGACACCTTTCAGAGGCTTCAGCTGCCCCGAGAGAGGAAGGCAGGGCCGCTTCCTTCCTCACAGGAGACACACAGGCTGCCTTCTGCAGCAGGGAATCGGTTTCCCTGCAGGGGCACCAAGCATCCCCAATAACGAGCCAGGGCCAGGAGGGGTCAAGTACCGGGCCCATCCCTGAAGGGTTCCCTACTTCCCATGCCTTTTATTTTGGTGATGAGCACCCCTTTCTAGCTTTTACCTTGCCAAGTAGACACACACCACACTCCTGTGGGAGCTCATCTTGACACCTGTGGTACTGGTCCTACAGGGGGCACGTTCACACACGCATGCGTGTTCACACCTGCACACACCTTCACAGGCACACAGATACATAGGTGCACGTGCATGTACACACACATGCACAGCGCACAGATCCACATGCACACAGCCATGCATGGGGCATACATGTACTGTACACATGTGCACTCATGTACGTGTTCATGTGCTCACACACATGGTGGTTCTCGGCCTCTCCAGGGCACAGGAGAGGAACTGCATTTTTGAGCTGAGGGGACGTGTGTGCACCACGCTCTGTGCTTAGAGGCTCAGTCCCCTCTTTGGTCCGGGGCTTTGCGTGACGGCACCATGCTGCCATCAGCCTTTCACGCACCTGCGTTGTGGCTGAGCCGTCTCCTCTGTTTCCCTGACAGCAAGGGGCCGTGTTGACCTGGGTGCTGTTGTGAACTCCTTAGGTGGTGTGAGGTTTTTGGTGCCACAGCAAATGATTCTGGGTTCTTTCTGGGGGTTTCTGTGGGGCCCCTTGTCGTGTCCTCTTTCTTGGAGCCGAGATTTAGCTTCTGGGAGGTGTCGTCATGCAGTGCCCTAAATTCAGTACCTGGCCTGTTTGCCGGGCCAGATGGTGTCTCATCAGCAAGCTGCGGTCGGGGCTGTGGGACGCATGCGGCCGGCGAGGGACTGTGAGGGCCCCGGTGCAGTGCAGTCACAGCCAGGCATCTGCTGCGGGGCCGGCCCCTCCAGGCCCCTGCCTCTCCCACCCTCCTGCTTCTGCTATGAAGGGAGCTGGCAGGTTTGGGGCCAGAAGGAAGCCGGTGGCTCTGGTGACCTGGACTGCTGCCTGAGCTGGGTGTCAGGCCCAGCGGTTCTCACGCAGGCCTTGGGCAGGCTGCCAGTTCAGCCCCACCTTGCAAAGGGGCTGTGCTCCCTCCTGGTTCCAGAAGTGGCTGGAAGGCTCTTCTGTCCTCTGGTAGAAAGGTGCTGTTCTTGATTCTTCCCCTCTTCCCTGGGAGCGAGGAGGGGCATTGGCAGGCCCTGGGCCCAGGAGGGGAAGCTGGTGGCCATCCCAGAAGCCGGGTCAGGATTCTGGGGACTGGGCCAGGCACAGTGGCTTATGCCTGTAATCCCTGGGAGGCCCAGGCAGGTGAATCATTTGAGGTCAGGAGTTCGAGACCAGCCTGGGCAACATGGTGAAACCCTGTCTCTACTGCAAATACAAAAATTAGCTGGATGTGGTGGCGCACACCTGTAATTCCAGGTACTTGGGCGGCTGAGACAGGATGATTGCTTGAGCCCGGGAGGTGGAGCTTGCAGTGAGCTGAGATCGCGCCACTGCACTCCGGCCTGAGTGAGACTCCATCTCAAAAGAAAAAAAAAAAAAAAAGGAATGATGGGGGCTGCATCCGACGCAAAGGTCAAGGGCGAAGTTGCTTATCTGTAAGTTGAAGGCTACAAGGCCTCGAAGGCACAGCATCCCCTGGGGCTCCAACCCAGTGGAAGGGCTGGGAGGGGCCTTTGGGTCTCATGTTCCCTGCGTCCCTTTCTTTCCTTCCAGGCAGTAGAGCAGAACGAGGTAAGAGTGTCTCCTGCCTCCCAACCCCACTCTTCTTCCCGTTTCTTCACAGGGGGTGGGTCACTAGGTGACTGTGACCTCGTGGCTCTCCGAGGTTGGCTGGGCCATCGGAGGGGATGTGTTTACTTCCAGAAAGGCTCAAGGCCGGGGACACAGCAGTAGAGCTGAGAGGGCGGGAGCAGACGGCAGCCCGCACCCGCCTGCCACCTCTGACGCGCCGCAGCGGGTCTGGGTCTGTCTTGCTCAGGGCTGTGTCCCAGGCCCAGATCCGCCCCTAGCCGAGTGGGCATGCAGGCAGCATCTGCCAGTGAGCGAGTGAGTGCAGAGGTTTCGGCAGCCTCCTGGGAACGGTCCCGGGGAGGCGTCCCACTGGCTGCCCAGGTCACCAGTGCACGCGGCATCGCTGAAGCCCAGGTGGGGCAGTGGATGGCCGAGTGCGGGTCTGCTCAGCCTCACTGGGGTTTGCACTCCCCACCCCAGGGGTCTGGGCCAGCTTCTGGAATTGATCCAGAGAGTGAGGACTGGTGGACCAGGAAAAAGTCAGGACAAAGTGACCCTGGCCAAGGCCACACAGAGGGAAGGGGAGGGCAGCAGGCCAGAGCACACGGAGGAAATGCCCCGATGGAGACGGGAGTCTCCCACTGGGCGTGATGTGGCACCCTCCCCTCTCCTCTGACTTTCTCTCTGTGACTGTCAGGAGGCCCTTTGATAAAAATAGGTTCAGGCCAGGCACGGTGACTCACTTCTATAATCTCAGCAACTTTGGGAGGCCAAGATGGGAGAGCAGCTTGAGGCCGGGAGTTCAAGACAAGGCTGGGCAACACAAGGAGACCCCAACTCTAGAAAAAATTAAAAATGAGCGGAATGTACTGGCCTGTGCCTATAGTCTCGGCTACTCAGGAGGCTGAGGCAGGAGGAGCTCTTGAGCGCAGGAGGCAGAGGTTGCAGTGAGCCATGCTCATGCCACTGTACTCCAGCGTGGGCAACAGAGCAAGACCCTGTCTCAAAAAAAAAAAAAAAAAAAAATATATATATATATATATATATATATATATGCCAAGCACGATGGCTCACGCCTGTAACCCCACCACTTTGGGAGGCCAAGGTGAACAGATCATGAGATCAGAAGTATTTGAGACCTGACCAAGACAGTGAAAACCCATCTCTACTAAAAATACAAAAATTAGCCAGATGTGGTAGTGGTCGCCTGTAATCCCAGCTACTTGGGAGGCTGAGGCAGGAGAATCGCTTGAGCCCGGGAGGCAAGGTTTGCAGTGAGCCAGGATTGTGCCATTGCACTCCAGCCTGGGCAACAAGAGTAAAACTCCATCTCAAAAAAAAAAATTCCCTAAGAGCTGCTTGCCTTGGGCTCGCCTGGGACCCCACTCCTCCCAGAGCCCCTTTTTTGTGGGTTCTCCTCCACGAGAGGGAGCGTGAGGATCTTGTGTCTTGGGTGTAGCGAAGTGTCTGGATTCCGCACAGCCCTAGGGTGAAATGCAGAGGGCCTGGGACGCTTGGGTCAGGGACAGGATGCTTGAGCAGGCAGCCTGAGCCTCAGCTTTAGCTGTTTCCCTCCAGATCCTGGCCTAGAAAGCTGATGAAAGAGCCAGCTACTGCTCAGCGTGGAAGGTCCCAGGCTGAGCCTGCACATGGCGAGGTGTCCCCTCCAGTTCCCCACCCACTCACGCCCCCGGCCCCTCTCTCCTGCAGAGGTCGGACCCGCAGCTGCTTGCCCGGTTCTACTACGCCGACGAGGAGCTGAACCAGGTGGCCGCGGAGCTGGACAGCCTGGACGGGCGGAAGGACCCCCAGCGGTGCACGCTGCTGGTCAGCCAGTTCCGCTCCTGCCAGGTGAGCCATGGGCAACAGAGGCTGGCTGGCCCCGCTGGGCGTTGGACAGAGTGGCCAGTCCTCAGTAGAGCGAGGCATTGTCACCTGTTGGCCCCCTGTGGTGGTGTTCTCTGGGTCAGGTGCTAGAGAAGCCAGGCCCGGGAATAAGGACCATCTGGGTGGGATGTGCGGAGTGGACAGCTGGGCTGGAAGCGAGGAACAGCATGGGACGCTTTGGGGAGCAGAAGCTGGGAGAGCGGGGGCAGGGAGTGCAGAGAGAGCCGGCTTCTGAGCCCAGGAGCAGCTGGCGTGGGAGGGGTGGGCCTGCCCAGGTGCTCATGCAGAGCTCGGGTACCATGTGGCGGTCACACTCCAACGCTGACTCACGGCGCTGCCGGCATCTGCTGCGTAATTGAGAGATGGCCCTGGAAGCTGCTGCTAAAAATATCCTGGCCAAGGTTTTCTTCCCAGCGCACCAAGCATTCAGAGGCATTTCCAGCACAACAGCAAACATCGTGGTGCAGTTTTATCAAGTGACGATGATAGATTTTCGCAAAGTTCCAGAATATTCTCAGCGTGTTCTACCCACAGGGTCTTGCTGAATCCTTGCAGCCGTGGGAGGTGGGGGCTGACACGTGCTCCCCCAACAGGGGGAGGCCATCACTGCGTCACTGTGGTCCTGAGGGTCCCACCCGGGTGGCTCCTGCATAGTGGCCAAGCTGGCTGTAGCCCAGCCCTGGGCCTGACCCTGCCATGGGGGGGACTCAGCAGCGTTAGGGCTCTGTGTGGGGCCAGGACAGCTTTTCTGGCCAGATCAGGCTCTGGGCTCTCTTTTGGGCTGTTCAGTGGCAGCCCCCCATCCTGTGTGTTCAGATGTTCCAACAGATGTCCTGGGCCCCTCTGGGGACAGCCTCCGTGGGTGGGGAGAGTCCCTGCCCTCAGGAGCTCAGGTTAGAAGAAACTTCTGCCCAGGGGACAGGTGCTGGGGGCCCTGGAGCCACGCAGGAAAGGTGCTGGGCCTGCCCGTGTTTCCACCAGTGGGGAAGGGGGACCGATGCTGCCCCTCGTGGCAGCCTGTGGGAAGGGGCTTTGTTCCCGTGATGTGTTCTGTGGCCTGTGTGCTTTTTTGTTGATGGCGTTGATGTTGAAGCCTGGTGTTAAGCGAATTTGAGTGCTGGTGGAGGGGCTGGAGGGCTGCCAAGCTAGGTGGCCCCTTCCAAGCTCCCCCCGCCACGGGCTTTAATTGGGGTGTGTCGCAGTGAGAATCGTTCTGTGAGAAGGATCTGGAAGGGAGTGCTCCTAGGGACAGTGTTCTTCTCCTTGCTGCTGGGGCCTTTGAAGGAACTGGACACTGTCCAGACCCCTCAGCATCATCCAATTGGGCCTCACTTCTATCCACTCGGCTCCGGGGCCCTGCCTCTGGCTCACCTCGCATCCCACTGGCTCCTCTGTGACCCTTCTTCCCTCTCCCATACCTCCCCTTCTTCCTCCCTCCTCCCATCTCCCCTTCCTCCCCCAGCCTCCTCCATGTGGGTCCCACGCGCAATCCCCAGCCTCGTCCTGGCCGCCCCCCGACATGGCGGCTCATCCTGCCCCATGTCTGTGCTGAGCACCCTCAGGGGAGCCTCTCGGCCTCTCCTCCCTGCAGATCCAGGCGTGCTCCTCCCAGCTCCCTGGGGCATCTCACAGGGGCCCCCTTACTGCCAGCACAGCTGACCATTGAGCAACATGGTTTGAACTGCACTGGTCCACTTATACACCCATTTTTTTCCCTGACTCAGATCTAAAATACAGTATTCTCAGGACACAAAACCCATGTGTACAGAGGGCTGTGCAGGTTCCACAGGTCCAGCTGTGGGGCTTGAGCATGCACAGACAGGATATACGCCAGGGGTCCTGGAGCCTGTGCCCTGCGTGCACTGAGGGATGATTGTATTTTGTGTCTTTTTGTGATGTTATAAGTGGTATTGCTTATTACATGTCAAGTTTTAAAAATAAGCCAGAACCATAAATGAAGTGTTTCCCTGAGTTCTATGAGACACCCTACAAATTAACCCAACCTGAGGAGGGGGTCATGGGAGCCCCAGTTTGTAGCCAGCTGGATGGAAGCACAGACCATGCCTGGACTTGGGATCAGCATCTGAAGGGGTCCGTCTTGTGGGACTGAGCTGCATCCTGTGGGGTCTTGCTCTGCTGCCCGGACTGGAGTGCAGTGATATGATCTTGGCTCACTGCAACCTCTGTCTCCCAGGTTCAAGCGATTCTCCTGCCTCAGCCTCCTGAGTAGCTGGGATTAAGAGCTGTGCACCTCCATGCCCTGCTAGTTTTTGTATTTTTAGTAGAGACAGGGTTTCACCATGTTGGCTAGGCTGGTCTTGAACTCCTGACCTCAAGTGACCCACCTGCCTCGGCCTCCCAAAGTGCTGGGATTGCAGGCGTGACCCACCGTGCCCAGCTCTAAATGTCAATTTTTGATTGTTTGGTGCTACTATATCTTTTATCCTAAAACCTTTCTGTAGGAATCTAGATAATGGGTTTTTCCTACTTTCTACCGTCACAGTCACTCAACACTCCATGACTAGGTGAGTGGGGTTTTCCCCACACACCGAGTAATTCCCCAGCAGGTTCTGCAGGGGACAGCAGTGGAGGGTCCCCTATTCAACTCCATCTTGACACTGTTCACCTGGAGTGACCTCAGACCCCACGGGGTGAGGGCTCAGTCCCACAAGACACCCCCCCATTTAGATACTGATCCCAGGACCAGGCGTGGTCTGTGCTCCTGTCCAGCTGGCCATAAATTGGGGCTCCCATGATCCCCTTCTGGGTTGGATGAATTTGTAGAGTGGCTCGTATCATTCTGGAGATTCCAAGGCTTTTTAGGAACTGTATGTCAGGAAATGGGAAGAAGAAGACAAAACATATTTTACAATATCATACTTTCTAAATTCACTTATTTCTGGCAGCTTTTTGTAGATACTGTTAAATTTTTTGCACATAAAGATAATCCTCACTTCTTCATTTTCTATCTGGATGCCATGAGTGTGAGTGTGTGTGTGTGAGTGTGTGTGTGTGTGTGTCACCCTGTTGAACTGGCTGGAATTCCAGAACAAAGTTGAACAGAGTTGGTGAAAGCAAACAACTATTGTTAATGGCGGAAGACTGAATGCTTTCTCCCTAAAGATCAGTGTATGTTACCTGCAGGATTTTCCTATATATTGTCAGGCCCAGGCAGTTGCCACCTATTCAGAGCTTGCTGAGAGTTCTTGTTAGGAACGATGTTAGATATTTTCTTCAGATGCTTTCTTTGTGTCAGTGAAGATTATCCTGTTATTTTTAATATGGTAAATTACATTGTGGGTATTTTTTTTTACTCAATAAATATTGATTTTTTTCTTTTTCTTTTCTTTTTTTTTTTTTGAGATGGGGTTTCTCCCTTGTTGCCCAGGCTAGAGTGCAATGCTGCAATCTTGGCTCACTGCAACCTCCATCTCCCAGGTTCAAGCAATTTTCCTGCCTCAGCCTCCCAAGTAGCTGGGATTACAGGCATGGGCCACCACGCCTGGCTAATTTTGTATTTTTAGTAGAGATGGGGTTTTTCCATGTTGGTCAGGCTGGTTTTGAACTCCTGATCCACCTCGGCCTCTCAAGGTGCTGGGTTTACAGGCGTGAGCCACCGCGCCTGGCTGACGTTTTAATCAGTATTCACTCCATCACCCAACAGTAGCAGCAGCAAGCAGACACCGTGAGGGCAGGGCTGTGTCTACACACGACATTCACCGGTGCATCCCAGTGCCTCGTACGTAGTCGGTACTCAGCTGTATCATTGAAACGGAACACTTGGCTGATTGACTGGAGTTTTGATTTATTTTCTTTTTGAATAATGTGACATTCTTTTTTGCATATGATAGCTATGGTATCACATAAACAATTGTAAACTGTGTCAAGCTGCCAAAAGTTTGAATCTCATGCCAGTATATACATTCAGGCATCTCACGATAGCTGTTTTAGAGTTATAATTATCTACCACTGAAAGAAACTTTGGGTTCATCTGATCCAATTCTCTTATTTCATGAACTAGAACAGTAAATCCACTCAGACTGGGTGACTCATCCATCATCACATGCAATAAACAGAAAACAAGGATTTGTTTGCCAGATGCCATAGCCCCGAAAGGTCAGGGTAGTTGGCACTCTTGCTGTATTATTGTCTTACAGAATGATGGAAGAGGCATCATTTTAGTTCCCTGGTAGAAAGAATAATAGAACCAGCTGAGTATCACAAATATGCCACAAAGATAAAAGACAATATTTGGCCCTAAATAAAAATAGATTTCTAAAAATACAGAAGAGATCAGACATGTCACTAAGAAAATGCAGATGTTAGACCATCTCAGTGGTTCACGGTTTTTGTGAAAGCTTAAAAAAAATATGGATGCCAGGACCCCATCCCAGAGATTCTGCCTTACTTGGTCCAAGAGGAGCATACGCATACACTGGTGGATTTTTGAATGTTAAAAAAATTACTCCTTCATTCCTGGTATAAATCCCACTTGTTCATGATATATTATCCTTTTTATGCATTATTAAATTCAGTTTCCTAAAATTTTGTTGAGAATTTTTGGATCAATATTCATGAGGGATATAGTCTTTGTCTGATTTTGGTATCAAGACAGTGTTGTACTCATAGAAGAGTTGGGAAGGATTCTCTCCTCTTCAGATTTTTGGACGAGTTTGTGTGGTGTTAGTTCTTCTTAAATGTTTGGTAGAATTCCCTGTTAATCTACCTGGACCTGGTAGAATTCACTATTACTCTATCTGGACCTGAAGCTTTCTTTGTAGGAAGATTTTTAACCACAAATTCAATTTCTTGAATATATAGATAAAGGGTTTTTCAGGTTATTTCAGAAATTTCTTCTTGAGAGAGATTTGATAGTTTATGCCTTTTAAGAAATTTCACCTAAGTTGTTGAATTTATTGGCGTAAGTTGTTCATAATATTTCCTTATAATCCTTTTAGTGTATG